CGGAAGTGAACGGGGGCAGACCGGTGGGGCAGCAACTGCTAACGGGTGGTGGCTGAGCGGCTTTTCGCTAATGAAGCCATAGAGATATGTATTATTCCTATGCCATAAATTTAGCTGAGCCGCGTCACAGTCTTTTTGACTGACACCCACACATGCCAGCCATGCCTGTCCCCAGCCATGCCTGCCAGCGCATCAGTCCCTTGGTGTTGTCGTTGCCTTTAGCTAATGCATAGAATTGGCTAGGCTGGCCGCATTTAATTTTGTTGAGCAACAATTAGCCACGGAAATGGCGGAAACAAAGCGACAACTACAGCCAGGCAACGTGACCGGGCCCAAAACATGCCTCGGCATTTAGTTTTTGTTGTTGTTGCTCTTGTTGCAAAAGTTTTCTGCAAAGGTTCTTTCCTTTTACCCTTTTTCAAATGCCTAACAATAAAAAGACTAACAAGGTGTCAATATCTTAAAAATTTTATCTTTCTGCACATAAAACTCCAGCGGATCATACTAAATCAGCCTTTGAACGGTTAAGGCTAAAAGCTGAGGTTCAGGCTAAGGCTGAGGCTAAGGCTGAGGCCTGACCAAGGTAGGGCAAGTCTAGGCTGCTAGCTAGCTAGCTAGCTAGCTAGCTGAGTGTCTGACTAGCTTCATAGCTCTAGTCGACAACAATAGCGCGCCTTTGGCCTGTCCAATGGAGCAGTGACCGTGCTTTTATACGGGGGATTTACGAGCAATGCCGACGACGGCAAAGAAGAAATATTCGATGGCCAAGCAACGATTAAAACGGACGCTTCACGCATGCCCGCGTACACACCAACACATACATACACGTACATATGTAGATACATACATACATACATACATACCTACTTACATACATACCTCTATGTGCTGTGCAACATAATGGGCAGCAGACCGTTTCCGCCCGTTGGTGTTGGTCAGGCAGCATTTGCAACACCAGCCAAAGATGCGCACGCTGCATACACTGGAAAAAAAAACTTAGTACAACATTTTAATCCAGCTGTTCCACAGAATAATTAAATCGAAACATTTGTATGGTGAAAATATTAGTCTAACTTTTATCATTCATATTATTATTATTTAAATTATTTAATTATATGAGGTAAATATAATTCAGTCAACATATAGAAGTGCAAATGTACAGCATAGGTAGTTGTTAATACATCTAAAATAATTCTCTTTCAACACCAAATATTTGTAAATATATGTAACACTTTAAACTATTATATGCCATTTTTTATTACTTTTTCTTTACCAAACAAGCTAAGAAATTGAGGTGTATGCTTCATGTGCCTTACAAGATATAATCCATGATCATGGACTACGCACTATACATACAATCATATTGCATACTTGGCGTGCCTTTGGAAATATATTGCTAAAGCTCAGAAGAAGACGCGGCATCTCCTATATTGTTTATTTATTTATTTTAATTTATTTACGGTATAAGTTCAGCTTAATGGATAATAAAACCTCAAATTTGAAAGTACACGTTGGGGGAATATTAATTGCTTTGTTGCCAGCTATGCCCCGATTAAATGGTCAACTGATTATCTATGGTATATGGTTAGTAACCATATACTACATATTCGGCTGTTTCTAATAGTCTTCGTTTCAGGATACGAATTTGGCATTTAGGCACACTTTTTATATCCACTGATATTGTTTGATATACATATATAGTGAAAGCATAGTTAAGCTTCGAATATAAAAAACTTGGAATTATTTTCTAGATTTTTTTAAGTGTAGATTGAAGCTGAGGCGAATATGTGCGCATTTCACGCACGTGATTAAAGCGCAGCGGGCAAGGAACGAGAGCGAGCAGCGCATGCATGCTTATAAATCAGAATTCACTTTTGGCCCTAAACCGAGCAGGGCAAAAGGCTGTGAGAGCGAGGGGGGGTTGAGGGCGAGGTCTGCAAACTGGCAGACGCGCCGACAATGAACTTCCAGGCTTATAGAGATGATCGAGCGGTGAAGAGATGGGCAGTGAACAGCTGCATGGGCGAGCACACGCACTACATATTGATAAATAAATAAGTTTCCTAAGGCCTTTGTCTTTAACCTGACAGAGTTTTTGTTGCTGTTCCTGTTGCCATTGTAGTTGTTTTTTGGTTGTTTTTGTTGTTGTTGTTCAAGTTCATTGCACTTGGCACAGAATTTGCGCGGAGTGAGAAGAAAAAGCGCGCAAAATGTTTTAACTGGTTTAAATTCAAATTTTTAAATTTCATTTAACCATCGAAAACGATGTAGAAGCGATCCAGCCGCGATCCGGCAATACGGCGATCTGGCGATCCCCTGAGATTTATGTGCACAATGCAGCGCAAATTTATAATGCGGCACCTTTCGATACATGCGGTGATGGCGATGGTGATGGTGATGGTGCCGGTGCCCGATCAACAGCGGTTGCAAGCTCGACCACGGCCCCAAAAAAATTAATATAAAAATGCTTTACGATGCAAATAAAACCGCGACCGAGTTTCTAACAGCGTTTGCGGCGCCAGCGTTTACGAGCATATGACTTTTTGACCCTCGTGCGCGTCTTGTAGCAAATAAATTAACAGTTCATGATGTCCCACAGCTAGGAGAACTGCCAAGCAGCCAAACAGCCAAACTCCCAAGCTGTTCAGCGAGAACCTTGTCCACGACCATCGTTGGGATACGGCTGACACATTTCTGCACTCTCTTCTACTTCTGAGCCATGCTGCGGAGCCATGAGGCATAAGCAGGGCCGCCATGGTGGCGGCACTTTTGTGAGCTAGCTGGCTGACCAGCACAGACACTAAAATCGCTCGAAATCAATCAATGATGCTTGGAAGATGCAAAGCGAACGCGTTGCTTCAAATGCCATACATCAACAACACCAACAACGAATTGTTTACCTGCCCCAAAGGTCAGTGTCTTGTACAGCATAGCCGCGCATGTTTACGTACACACTAGGAGGCATATGTTTTAAGCAAGGCCTGAAAACTAATTTGCTATTTCAGGCAAGTGGTTATATGGTTATGAATAGCACTTTTATTTATTAGAAGAGCTTCTATGCGAAGCAATTTTTTATGAATATAAATTCTCGATTACATTTCTGGAAAATAAAAAGAATAAATAATCATGTAGTTTCTAGACTTATTTCACATGGTCCATCTCATATCATGGTCATATAAACTAACACTGCCAAGAACTATGGAAGGATAAGTCACTCCTTCCACGTCTGATCTACTTAATATGGAAGGAGTGATTTAGTTTGTCTGATCTATTTCAATAGCATTGTAGAATAACACTTATTTTTTTAATATTAAATATTAATAATGAAATATTTTAGCTTAATACACACAAACATTTATAATAATTAGTAAGCATTTTTTAAGGTGGGTACTGGGTTTTCAAGAGTTGGGCGCCAATAATACAATGATTGTTAGAATCAGATTTTAAGTTTGTCAGTACACAGTTTGAAATTAGTGTAGGTTAACATAAATTTAAATATGCATTTTTGTTGGCAAAGAAAGTTAACCTACGACTTCAACGGCCTCAGCCTTGCCTTTGACTGCTGCCCTTGCTCCATTGAAATGTGAGCTGGCCACTCAAGAGTTTTGCCTAATTGAGTGTTTGGTTGAGCACGAGCCGAGCCGAGCCGGGTCATCCAGGTCCCCAAGCTATACAAGTATGTGCACTCATTAGTTATTAACGCAACGTCTCAGGTTTGTCAGAGGCGGTGAAATTTGAAACTTCACGATCTCGGCCAGAGGCTGGTAAATAGGAATAAAGCAAAAACTACGAATGACGAAAAAAGCCGCAACCTGTTTTGTCGTTAGCACAGTGACATTTTAAATGTCGTCACTAAAATGTGCGTTTATTTGCGCCAAAATGCAAGCTGATCAAGTTTTTTGTCTAAGTCTTTTCGCTGCTTTCCACTAAGAACCACGGGAAACAGTTATTGACACATATCAAGATCAGCAACCAAGGTTATGATATAATTGACCAAACGCACAGCCTCGATCGTGGTGAGAGGGGAAAAGCTACAGCCTAGTCTAGATATTTGTTGCTGAAAGGTTATTTACCCGGCTCTACTTGTATGTCAATAGACATGTAGACAGTACAACAAAAATTACAGAAACAACACACATTCGTGCAAATGTTTACTAAAGTTACCGTACATGCTGCGTGCCCCTTCCCCTCGCTGTTCCCCACGTTTTGCGAAATTCTGAAATCATAGTAAGCGAGCAATCAACCCGACACGATCTACATAAAATTTCAGCGGCAAATATCTTGCAAAATCTGCGGTTCTACCCATGAGACGCCTAACTGTGCTTGTGCTTCAGAGCTAATGCTTCAGCTACAGCCTCAGAATCATTCGAAACAATGCCATACAATATGGATCAAAACGGTGTCGAGCATATCAGTTCACTTCATCGATATATCATTAGCGCCTTTCCCACTCCGCTTGCGGCTTTTGTGTGGGGCTTTGTTAAGCCATTTGGCAAGCTGTAAACCGCCAGCAATAGCTGGCCTAATAGCTAATGGCCTAGCCCAAAACTGAAAACTCAAAACTCATATGCAGAACGAATGAAAGTGTTCTATTCTGCTGATGCTTTTACAAGCTCGATTTTACTTGGCACAACTCGTGCGCGAAGGAAGCATTTGGTATGAGTTGTAAACCAAAGTTTGTCTCAAACCTGTCTCAAACGAACCAACGTCAAGTCGAGCCAAAGTCGAGCCAAAGTCGAACTTGCAGAAGACAACAACAGTCGACGTTGGTTAGGCGATGCGAGCGGACGTGATTGGCGCGTTCAATTCGAAGCCAAAGTTGAAGCGACAAAGACGAATCACGAAACACGAAACTCGAAACTGAAACTGACGCGATCGCGTGTGTCCCTTCGCCCCCATCAAGTGCAAGTGAATGCGTTTTCGTGAGAGCGTAAGTGACGCAAACGCAAATGTGCAACAGTCATCGCTGTCGTCGGACCATTTGAAAAGGATGCATGAGCATGTGGCAACGGCAGGGCGAGCAACGTAAGGCTACGGCCGCAGCCACGACAGCGGCCGCCAAGGCCAAGACGAAAACGAAATGCTTCAGACTCGTGACGAGTGCGCGTCTGCATTGCCTGCTCTTGTATCTCACCTGCTGTCTATCGGTGACGGTTAGCGCGCAAAGTACACGTAGGCCAGGTGGCGCCACCGCCACCACCACTAATAGTGAGCAACAATGGCCGAAGCGCACGGGCGCGGGCGCGGGCGCTGGAGGGGGCAGTAGTTCTAGTGTAAATAGTGTAACCAACAAATACAACAGCAACAACAATCAGAACAACATCTGGCGACGTGTCCGCCTGGTTACAAGCGGCACGCAGGAGAGAGACCGAAATGCCTACCAGGTGATCAAAGCCAATGCCACCACAACCAGCAGCACTACCACCACAACAACATCAGCGACCACGACAACGACAGCGCCCACGTTAAGACGCAGCTCCAAGCAGCTGATGCGTCGAGAGGATCTCAATTTGGTGGACCCTTCGCCACCCAGTAGTAATGTCTCGAATGCAGCTCGTTTGGAAATGTCCACGGAATTCTTTGTAGTGCCCACAGTGACGGCGTCCAGCAGTACAACGGCACCAGTGGGTGCTGCAGCCACACCCACTCGAAGTGGCGCTAGATCCCGTGGTATACTGCCATCGCCTACGCACAGCAGCACGCGTCTCGGTACACGATCATCCAGTGCAGGCAATGGCATCAACGCCACACCGCCCACTATTGTCTCCACCGCGCATTTGCCCTTTGCCGGGCTTCGCAAGGAGCCGTGGGTGGTGCCGGTGCTGGTGTTGTCAACACTCACAATGCTAATGATGGGCGCATTCGAAATTTTCGTGCTCTTCAAAGCCTGGCGCACGTCACCGTCGCGAAGGTGAGAAAATAATGCACGACAAGCAGCTTAAATAAAATCACAATGTGTTGATGATTTAGAGACTCTGTTACCTAATTAGAGCAAAGGAAAAGACATGCTTGAATTCTCCAAAACTACTTTCAAAATTAAACGCAATTAACCCCAATCGGGGTCATCAAAATAAATAAAAACGAAGTAACAAACCTTGCAGGTTTCAATATAAAAGTATTCTGATTGAAAAAGGCAAACGGATTTGTCTTGTGATATAAAATATCATATTTCTTCTAATCTTATATGTTTTCGTATAACTTGTGTACAATTTTTTATTCTGTTTGTTATAAACTTACGCAACAGTGAAAAGTTGAATGAAAATGTGTGATCAATTAAATTTGGTACAGAACTATTGATTATTAAACTTTTTTTCAAGACATGTGTTTTTTCATCAAGCCAAGTTCTAAAATTGAGACACGCCTTATTATAATTCGACATTAAAAAATATCTCTTTATTCTCTGTGGATTTACATAGAGTATATTTGAGCTCAAAAAATATAATTGAAGTTATATAGTACAATATATAGAACTAATTTCAAAAAATTCAAATAATCTTAAATTTCTTCTTAAAATTGTTTCAAATTTTATTTTAGATCTAGTTTTTGTGAATATTAGCACTTTTTCGATATCAAATGCAAGCTTGTATTTATGCAGTTAGTGGAATTAGATATTGATTATAATATTTTTAACACAAATTTTATATTCTTTATATTTTAAAAAGAACATCATAGTTAAAAACTAATAAATTACAACTTTATTGTTGATGTTTTTAGAGAACGATTTTGAGCATTTATTACGATTTATTATAGATTTTGTTGTCTTTCTAAATTATAGCCAATACGTATAAGTGGCTCATTCTCGGAGACCAAAACTAAAGGCACCAAACAATATCATATATTTATCATACTTGTAGACAGCACCGATCAGCAATTAGATTTACTAGATTGCTTGTAGCTTAGAATGTAACATATGTTGTAATTGTAATCGATTCATCCAAATGAGTATTGGTAGCTTGTGTTTAAAATCAATTCTTTTGAGCTCTGATAACTTTATTTATCTTTCTACTTACAGACATCTCTTCCTTGGACAGATGCTGCTTCTGGGCCTATTCGCGTGCGCTAGCCTTGGCGCTATTATAACCGCCCAACCCTCGCTGCTTAGCTGTGGCACTATTCGCTTTGGCGTGGGTGTCGCATATGCGCTCGTATTTGCGGCGCTACTCGTGAAATGCGTCTTTCTGATCAGCCTAAATGGCGGCGTCTATTTGCCTGCGCCTTATCAGGGCTTACTGCTGCTTTTCGCCGTACTCATTCAGGTCGCAATCGGAGCGCAGTGGCTGCTTACACAGCCACCAGAGATCTACATGACAAGCGTGCCCGTTGTAGGCAGCGGCATTCTCTCTTCGACGGTCGCCTCACAGACCAACTACACGGCCCTCTTCTATCCCACATCCTATACGACGCTCGATGGCACGCCGGAGATTTATACCCGTATAGCGGCGGTTAGCACGGTGCTAATTCCACTGTGCAAGACACAGTTCTCGGAGCTGCTCTTCTCGCTCATTTACATTGTCTTCCTCATCGTGTTCATAGCGGTATTAGCTATAAAGTCACGTGGGATTCGTGACAATTATCGCGAGGCCACCTACATTGGCTTGGCCATTGGCGGCGCCATTCCTATTTGGTTAGGATGGATGCTTTGCGGTCTAGCCGTAGCAGAGCGGCACAAGGATGCGTGCATTGCCTTTGGATTAGTTGCCACCTCGGCCACAGTGTTCCTGGTAATGTTCATGCCAAAGGGCCGACAGCTAGCGGCCATGGGCAAGGAAGGGCTTTACGTTGAAGATCGCGAGGAGCAGTTCAGTTCCTTGAGTCGCGCTGGATCTGGCTATTCGCCTTCGTTCTTTCACTTCAAGCCCATCAAGTATGGCGTCATGAGTGGATGCGGACTGCCCAACTCCGCATCTAATACCGGCAATGGAGTCAGCTCCAAACATTGTACGAGTGCCAATAATGGCGGAGGTGAGTCGAAGTAGCTTCATATACACATTTTAATATCCCTGTGTGGTTTGTGTCACAATTTCTGTTTGATTATGCCCCACTTGCATACACTCAGCGAAAACAAAGGCCAAAATGTTTGATTATCAAAATTCAGATGGGTATTTATCTTGGATTTATCTACTAGAACTTTACATTATCACGCAATAGGATTTAAGGCTTCTATAGAAAGAGCTATTGCTTATATGACCGTCACATTCACAGGATTAGATACACATAGGACTAACTTTAAGCTTTTAAATATTTAATAATACGAGTACAGGAAATTAGTCATTGCATCGGAATATATCGGAACGTGTCACTATAGACTCTACAGGCTACTGACTAAACACTATCTCGTAGGTAGCTCCGAAGAACGATCGAATCGGTAAATCTGTCGATTGTTTTTTTTAGTGTACCCGTGTACAATATGTGAACTATGCGTGCCCCAGCAGTTGAGTTGCTGTCGCTGTCATGTCTGGTTAATTTTGTAATAACTTTCTTTTCTTGCCACACCATACGCAGACGGGAGGCCTGCTGCTTGAACTCTCATTTATCCGGCCGTTTGCTCTTTCTAAAAACAAAGCCAAAACCCAAAACATAGCAAAAGCAAAAGTCTTAACTTTCAAATGGCAGCAATAGTTGGGCTAGGGGTATAGGTAAGAGCAAGAGGAGCTGGGAAAAACATTAACTGGGCTTAAAATTGTTTTGCCAAGCGGTGTAATTGTTTCGTATATTAATTCCGTCTGCAAGCCGTGTAAGCCGAGTGTAAAAAAGCCTAGGCGGCAACACATGCTGATTGTTGTTGGCCTGTCCAGATGCCAACCATTGGACTGTTTTTGTGTCCCACTGTCTCTCTATTGGTTTGTCTGCTGCTGTTTGTCCAGCTGCCGCCTGTTTGCTTTCATTTTCGTTGTGAGAACAAAATCAAAGAAGTTCGTTTTCAACTCTTTCTTTTGGATGAACTGCCTTTTCAGTGCATCTCATGCATAGATTATTCCTGTCAATAATTTTTGCAAAAGTGTCATCATTACCATAATAATCATGTCCCTACCAACCAACGCACCTATGAGTATATTAAGCCGATTTCTCGTTTGCCATTTGTAAGGTGTTAAATGCCATTGTCAGAATGTGTAAATAGACAAGTTCACACTGCTAATAACTTCAAAATTAACACATTGTTGGGACCAAGTGAAACGAGGCTATACAAGCCGCTATACAATGCGTGCGAATAGCACCAACAACAACAATATAAATTTACACAATTTATGGCGATTTATGGACTGTCAAAAATAATAATAATAATAATATTTTGCTTTTGGATTTGATCGTTATGGAATGCTTGATGGCTTTCTAATGAAATCGCATACACATTTATTTCCAAGTCTTTTATGCTTTTGCATGGGACGTATGCTTAAAGGCGTACCGATGACGGGAGCGCGACTGCATAGCTCTCCACATGTAACCATACTTACATACAAGTATAACACATTGCACATTACGTAATTAAATTAACGCAAAGCACCTATTCGTATATTAAACCAATTGCAATCATAACAATGTAAAAGTGCCACATTGGACCTAAGTAGGAAGCTTTTTATTTGGCAGCTACTTAAAAATAAATGTGTGTGTGTGTCAGTATATGTGTCTGTACTATATACTGGGGACTGCCACGCACGAAACAACAAAGCAATACGAGTACAATAACAGAGCCCACCACTAGGTGAAACGCTTCACCTCACGCTCCGCAAAATAAGGCGAAGCAAAGTAAAGTAAACCAAAATCAGTTGAAAATTGTAGCAAAGCGCTGTGGGCAATGGCAGGGTGGGACGGGACGGGACGGTACGGAACGGAACGGAACTGGAGCGGTAGGAAGCTAGATCGGGAGTTGGTTGGTCAGGCTATCGGCACATGAAGAAAGCAAGCAAGCAAGCAAGCAAGCGAGCGAGCAAGCAAAAACCGACGGACTGAAAAATATATAGGTACGCATAAATAGATAAATGAAAGATATAGTGCTTGCAATATATACATACATATGTACACGTATGTAGCTACATCTACACATACCTCCACACTTATGTACGATACGTACATACATGTGTACATATATATACGTCAAACTGTCTGCAATTGAAAGTGCATTTGAGGGTAACAACAACAAAAACAACAACAGCTACAAAAATCTTGAGACAAATGTCTGTGTATCTGTCTGTATGTTTGTCCGTTCGTCCGTTCGTCTGGCAGCCTGCTTATTGAAGGAGAGAGAGAATGACAGCAACAATAAAAAAATTGGCACAGCTTAACAAGCTGCTGGGCAGCTTGCATTATCAGGAATGATATTTGAGTGCGTGTGTGTGTGTTTTTGTGTTTCCAGACACTGTGTGGGTTGACTTTGAGTGAAGTGAGGCAAAGGGTTTCGAGCTTGATTAAGGGCAACAAAAAAAACTTAAGAAAAAAACAAATGGCAGCAACTAGCCGCAAAGCCATGTAGGATGCAAAAAGTTTCACATGAAATAAGTAAGAGTAAATGTGATATTTGGTAACAAAAGACTTAGGCAACAAACTTGGCATTGTAGTAATGCTAACTCAGTGATGAGTGAACTACTGTTCAACATCTATTCGAATTTGAATTAATGAATGCCATTATTCGCTAAAAAATAATTTATTTAAAAAATCAATTCAATTTAACATCAAAAAATACATAATGAAATCACAAAAAGCTGAATAAATTCCTAGTCTTGAATGTGGAAATTCTGGACCAGCCCAAACTCTCTGTGCGTCTATACAATATCTATCAATACTTCTATCCAGCTTTTCAAAGCACTATAACAATAAAAAATTCATTACAAATATGTTAACTTGGTTTAAAAAATCAAACAAAAAAATAAAAAATTTAAATATGTATATGGTTCAGAGATGGTTCAAATTGATATGGAATCTGTATGTATTCAGTACATTGTTTAATTACATGTATCCAATCAGCATTATTGTTCATATATTAAATAAAAATAAAACTTTTCTGAAGGCATTATTTAAAGTCGATTACAATAGAGGATATTTACACATCTGTCAAATGATTAGCGTCCCAAAGATTTCAATAGGCTTAAAAATATTATATTAGGGTTGTGTTTAAAAAAAAACACTTAGAAAATAGTAGAGTGAATAATGCAGTTAGAAAATGTCTTGGGCTGATAATCATAAATATATAAATTATTTCATTCTTTTGTGCTAATCCCTATATGTATGTACGTGTATAAGTATACTACATATCTGTTGTCTGCCACGCGTCTATTTGGTTGTTATACAAATTTAATGATTTCTCAATACCGCTGAATACTTCAGGTATAAGGCATAATCATAAAGAATAGTGCAAAATATAATACAGTCATTACATTATTTGTATTATTCGCTAATAAGTAAAATATGGGTTTTATTGAATATTCTCACTTATCTTCAAGACCGGATGGTATTGAACTAATCGTATGTTCATATTAACGGAGCCCCTTGACTTTTCTGAAGTACACTCCACACTTAATCACATACACACACAAATATACGCATTTAAATAGATATAATATTATACCCGACGGCTTATTGACAAATCCCTCGACAAACATTGAAAAATTCCCAAATGTCAGCAAACGTCACAAACTTCCGCACAGCTCAAGCGATTCAACCTCCAATATCAATACGAGTACGATCCCAAACAAGAGGCGGACGTATAGCACAGATAAAAGGCAAAGGTATCCACATTGACAAAAAACAACTACAACAACAATAAAAAACACATGAGTCCGGGTTATCTTTGTCTGTACTGTGCTGGCATCAGCATCGGCAACGGCATCGAACGAATGAATGATTGATTTTATTTATTTGCTTGGCATAAAGTCACTCAATAAAATTACGAAAAAATGCGGCGAGACAAGCACAAAGCAGTTCAATCGGGGCATGTTTCAAGTCCATGTACTTCTGCAGCTCCTGCTCTCTCTCACTGACCAAGTGGTCCTTCCGTTCAAGTGGCTGTCCATGCCGTTGCCGTTGCCGATGCCCATGTCCATGTCCATACTTCTGCCGTTGCAACGTCAAAATTCGTCTGAAAAAATGATTTAATCATGCGCTCTCTTATGTAGTTGCTGACCGGCGGCGGAAGTAGCATCTATTTTTGTGACTACGACTACGCTGTCATCGCTTCTTCATTCTGTCCTCGCTATTACAGCGCCGCGCCTTCAATTGAGGTGACCAGCCTTGAACTCATCGAATCAGCGTCTTACGCGCGCTCTCTTTCAACATCCACAATCGAAGACGATGGGGCTATATCGGCCATATCGCGATCCTGCAGAATGTCTCTCACTTGCGACAACAACAAAAACCACTTGCCGGTCTCTGTCAATCTGGGTTTTTTAGCTCTACCCGCTTTCTGCTATCCAGTCCACGGTCCTCTGGATGACCAGTTCCCTTTATAGAGAGGCCTGGCTGGTCTCTTTATGGCACAGCTTTCAGCAGTAATCAGCTCATGACTTGGCGTCAACGCCGTTAGCTGTCGTTTAGCTTATTGTTGCAAAATGTTCAGTGAATTATGCGGTCGACTACTTAATGGAGGACCACACAGAGCGAGAATCACAGAAGCCGCTGCAAAGGAGGGAAAGGGATGGGAACATTTTATCAGGGCTTGCTTAGTCTTCTGGAAAATGGGATATGACTTGCATCAACTTCGTGAAGAGAACAAAACTTTTTAAGAATTAGACTCAATCTTTCTAAGTATTTTTCAGGGTATACAATATTGCTAACTAATAACTTGAAATTTATTGCAATTTTAACAACTTGCATATGTATTTACAAATTTAAATAATTTAAAAAGCAGTTTATAATATCTAAATTATTACAAAAGCGGACTTTTTAAGATTTTCATTAAAAACTAATTAAATATAGGTCTGTCTTTTAAATCTTTTTATGTATCTTTAAAGATTCTTGCATATGCCAAAATT